TGAATGTCCATGGTTACAGTCAGTACCATTCCATCTCTCATTTTTCTGTAAACCTGCAGTTGTGGAAAATAATTAATTACCATTTCAATAGTTGTTCCATAGATTTATTTTCAGTTATGGAAGAGTTTCAGATAAATGTGATAATTCCCAAGGGGCTGACGTGTTAGATTTACTCTACCGCAACTCCCCCACTGTTTGTAACTTTGGTTATAAATGTGTCTGCACATTGTACACAGATGTAGTTTGTACAGTCTGGGCATCTGTTGAATTTGGGGTCTGACTCACAAAATCCTATTCTTGAGTAAGATTTAGATAGTCATAGTTTCCACAAGACTTCTGCTTGTTTGGAGGAATGTATATATGAGGGAGTAATACAATCCCATCTTTAATTTCTATTTCATCCCAGCCTGTTTTTTAGTTAAAAAGTTGGATTTGGTGGCTTTCAGATATGTTTCATTTAAGAAGGGAGCCTGGAAGCCATTGTGGGGTGGATGTGGGCTAATAAACTGAATCTTAATCTCAACAAGGTGTAAGTGGTATTGGTGAGTGGTACTGAGACAGGCTTTGAGGTGTCTCCTGTTCTGGGTGGGGTTTCAGTGCTCTTGAATGAGCAGGTCTGTAGCTTGGGGCTGCTGGACCCAGGACTGCTGCTGGATAAGCAGGTGGCGGTAATATTTAGAAGAAGAGAAGAAGAGAGTGGATTTATACTCTGCCCTTCACTTGGAGTCTCAGAGCGGCTTACAAACTCCTTTCCCTTCCCCTCCCCACAACAGACACCCTGTGAGGTAGGTGGGGCTGAGAAAGCTCTTTCCACAACTGTCCTTGAAAGAACATCTCTGACAGAACTATGGCTTGCCCAAGGTCATCCAGCAGCTGCAGGTGGAGGAGAGGGGAATCAAACCCGGTTATCCCAGATTAGAGTCCGCACACTTAACCACTACACCAAACTGGCTCTATTTAAGGGTGCCTTTTATCAGATTGGTCTGATTAGCCTGCTATGTCCTTTTCTGAGCAGGTAAAATCTGACTACTGTCATTTATGCTCAGGTAATACCTACATTAGAATTTTGCAAAGTGTTCCACACAGTGTTTACAATGCTGAACGAGGATTTGGGAGACCCAGATTTGAATCCCCACTCTACCATGGAAGCTTGCTGGGTGACCTTAGGTCAGTCATGCACTCTCAGCCTAACATACCTCGCAGGGCTTTTGTGAGGATAAAATGGAGGAGAGGAAAATGAGGTAAGCCACTTTGGATCCCCAATGGGGACTAAGGTGGGGTATAAATGAAGTAAAATAAATAAATACATGGGGATGTCCTTGAAAAGTGTTAAGAAACTGAAGTTGGTACTGAATGCTGCCACCAGGATGTAGATTGTGGTGGGTCACAGGAACTGTATCACTCCAGTCTAGGTGCATTACATTGGCTCCCGATGACCTTTAAAACCCTATACAGTTTGGATTGGAACCAGCCTACCTTAAAAACTGCCTACTACCACATGTACCTTTCCGACTGCTGTGGTAATCTGCTTCGGGTGCAGGTTAGATGGGTAGCAACCCAAGAGAAGGTCTTCTTTGTTTGTTTGTTTATTTATTTATTCATCTTATATCCCGCCCTTCCCACTGAGGCAGGCTCAGAGTGGCTTACATAAAATGATTAAAATATAAATACATAGAACAACACATAAAACATCTTAATTTAGCATACAGTTATAACAGACATAGTAAAAGGTGCTAGAGCTAGAATAGATGGTAATAACATTATAAAATTGTATAGTGGTCACAACAGGACATGTTGATTAACCAAAAGGGAATGGTCAGAGTTGGAATTCAGCTTATCTTTTCTAATTTTGCTGGTGGGCACGGTGCAGTTCTTATGTGCGGCTCCTAGTTAAAAGCTTGGTGGAAGAGCTCCATCTTGCAGGCCCTGTGGAACTGTAAAAGGTCCCGCAGGGCCCTGATGTCATTTGGGAGCTCATTCCACCAGTAAAGAGCCACCACTGAGAAGGCCCTGGCCCTGGTTGAGGCGAGCCTGGCCGCTTTTGGACCAGGGAGGGCCAGGCGATTTTGGAGTCCCGAACACAGTTCTCTCCAGAGAACATGTGGGGAAAGGCAGTCCCTCAGGTATGCAGGTCCCTGACCATATAGGGCTTTAAAGGTAAGAACCAGCACCTTGAAGTGAATTCGGTATGCTATCAGCAGCCAGTGCAATGCTTTTAGCACAGGTTGGATGTGCTCCCACATGGGGAGGCCCATCAAAACCCTGGCTGCAGTGTTTTGCACTAGCTGTAGCTTCCAGGTTTGCACCAAGGGCAGCCCCATGTAGAGAACATTACAGTCAGGGCTCTAGTCGGGGGGGAGCTCTCAGGTACGGAGCTCCGGAAGAGAACCTCTAGGGGGCGGGGCGGTCACGTGGTGAAGCCCCGCCCCCTTCTTTACCCCGCCCTCTGCTTCGATCCTCATTCCGTTTGGGAATGAGGATGAAGCAGGAGGGTAAGTAGCCGGGCCTTCTGACACACTTCCGGTGATGTCAGGGGGTGTGGCCTTCTGTCACTTCCGGTGATGTCAGGGGGCGTGGCATATGCAAATAAGTTATGCTAATGAGTTATGCTAATGAGCTCCGGCAGCTCTTTTTCTACAACAAGACCCCTGATTACAGTAGTCCAGTCTTGAGGTGACCATCATGTGGATCACTGTTGCTAGGTCATTGTGTTCAAGAAAGGGAACCAACTGCCTAATCAGCAGTTGGTTCTGGCATCAGAAAATCAATCAATTGGTTCTGGCATCAGAATTATGGAACTCCCTCCCCAGGGATATAATTCAATCCCTTGCTACCACTGTCTTCTGCCATTGGGTGAAGGCTTTTTTTTCCTGTCTAGCATTGTCTCAATGGCCCCTTCTTATACTCTAATTGCTGACTCTTTGTTATATATATATATATATTAGAGTAGGTTTTAATTAATGTCATGATGTATTTTTTAATGTTTTCTTTTAATTGTGAGTTGCCTTGGTGGTCTTGATTGGGCAGAAAGGTGGGATATAAATGCTGCAAATAAAATCAAATTTAAGCTGTTGCTTGATTCTCTACTATTTTTAATAGGTATGGGCATATTTTCCCAAGTTCTTCTGTTGGTGGTGCATATATCTGAGGGGTTCTATGATTTTCATGTTGAATGTGTTAGACAATTGAACTTACAATGTGACACTGAGATCTGAGCTGATCATCACTGATCCTGTTTGGTGTGCCACCAGTTGACTTGAATACATGCACTTTCCCCTCAAAAAACTGCACATCTCAAGAATGCTACTAACCCAACTAATGTTAATTCAACAGCTTTATTTTTATGTGGAGAAGGGTCTTGTGTACAATAGGAAACTGCTTACAATTCATGCTGTTCTGAAAAACCAGATAATTGATTGTACATCTTTGCAAATTCTAGCTATAAATTTTATATTTTGGCAGTTTTAAGTCAATGCTAAATTTAGGGACATCAGCTTTTTATGGCACTCGTCAGTTCTGAACTATGCACACACTTGTGCTTTTTTTGTAAGTTTGGACCAACTTTTATGTAAAGATTTTACAACAATCGAAGCAGGGCACTGATTTATTTGGTATTTCTTTCTACAAAACTACCTTTACTCAAAAAGTCACTGTCAGTCTTTGCACTGCTTTCAGTGTTATCTGTGGAAGGTGTTCTTTGTGCTCATTTCAGACAATAAAGCACAGTCTCTCTTGAATACTAACCCAACTAATCAGCAGCTGTTAATATTGCTAAGTACTACTTAGATAAACACTGAACTGTAGGATTATAAAAAAGATATGTTTATTCGCATCTAATTTATACGGTTTGTGACCAGTTGCCTGCTGAGTGGAGAAAAGGCACAGCAAGGACCAGGGGAGTGGAACTTAAAATTAGGCTGTGTAAGAATGCACATGTGCAAAAAGCAGAATGCAGTGCACTGCAGTGTTAGAAAAGAATATGGTGAAGCAACGTACTGAACAGCTGCAAATGTATCAATTCATAGTCCACTGAAAAACTCACTCTCTGTTCATGACTGGCGAGCACAGTCTATTGCTTAATGTTGTCGTTGGCAAGTGATGAACATACACATGTGAATCAGCCCTATCCAGCTCATGTATCAGATATAAGAAGAATAGGGCTTAGGGGGTCAAGCGGAGTGGAGGTTGGGGTTTTTTTAAAAAAAGAATGTAACACATCTATATTTCACACAAGTGTACGTGTAATTTCTGTGTACTTCAGGCATACGTAGTCTGTCTTCCTGGTTTTTCCCTACTGCTTTCAGAAAAGCAGTGTTTTTCTACAGATGAGATTTTTTTGAGTGCTACTTGATAAAATTGCTCTCTTGGCATTTGCGTTGCACAGAGAATATTCTGGGAAGAGGCACTAGTTTCAATGGCAGCATACAGAAGAGAAGATTTATAAGCACGTGTAGGGCCCTTCTTTTAAGATGGCTCAGCAGTGATGCCATGAAGAAACACTGATCAAACAAGAGGGACTGCTATATTTTTGAAATACTTTTTTTTGGAGAACTCTTTTGGTTTTACTCAAGGATGACAGAGAAATGGGAAAACAAACAAACTGGAATTTCTCCCTTTGGGGAAAATGAATGGCATTGTATTACCATAGCACTTGAGCACTGGCAAACTGGGGCATGGGCATAAGGTATCTGCTTATGCTTCGATGTACCAAATCAAAATGGGAAATGAAGCTCTTTTGAAAGAGGTGACAGTATTCAGGCCTATTTATTTGTTTAATCATTTATACAATATCCCACTTTCTCCTCAATGGGGACCCAAGGCTTTGGAGTGGATATCATCTCCCCCCCCCTTTTGGCTAGCTCCTCCTCCCAGATCTAGCCTATGACACTCAGACTAAGAGCCAAAGGACAAGAGTCCTTCTGCTCATGCCTCTTAGATACCCATGAGAAGCAGGGGACAAACGGACTTCCGGATCCGGTCTCAACGAGGGAGGTCGAACGCACTTCGCTCTCCCAGGACTTTTGTCTCCTTTAAACAATTACAACGTTTCAAATTCTTCGAGAGACGAAGAGTGAGGCAAGGGAAGCGTCTGGGGGGGGGGTTCCAGCGGGGTGGCGACCCCCGACAACCCCCAGCTGTCCTAGAGCAAAGGAGTCACATACCGAAAAGGAGCGACGGCGGAGACGCTGAGGGCAATTGAGCCGAGGAGGAGGTTACAGAGTCACCAGATGGAAGCAAGCGCTTAACCGAAGCTAAGTACCTTACAATAATAAAGTTATAATAATAGTTATTGTGGGGAAATACTGGGCTAGTAAGGATATCCGATAAAACCTAGAAGGAGCTAAAAAACTTTAAGCCGAGAGAGGAACAAGCACAACAGACCTAAAAAGAGCGGCTAGTTTAATAAATTGCAGAGAGGGGAACAACAGAGGAGAAGAGGCTCAAAATAAGGGCTGAAACAAGGGGAAACGAAAGCTCGAAATTACAACTTTTTTCTCTTTCTTACCAGTTTTGTTGCAGGTGGACGCAGGTGGACGCTGCGGCTTTAAGGCGCCGAGAGGAGTTGGAGGCTGGGCGCAAGCGGTTACAGCTGGGTGCGGCGGAGAGGCGGTGCTGGGCAGCGCGGAGAGGCACGCAAGGCCAAACGACGGAGCAACAGAGCGACAGGATTCGAGCGGCGAAGGGCGGAGGTGCAGAGCAGAGGAGTGACGTCATAGCCGAGGCGACAGAGAGAGAAGGGAGGGGCGACGAGCACCAGAAAAAACAAGCCGGAGCCAGGCGGAGAGGCGGTGCTGGGCAGCGCGGAGAGGCACGCAAGGCCAAACGACGGAGCAACAGAGCGACAGGATTCGAGCGGCGAAGGTGCAGAGCAGAGGAGTGACGTCATAGCCGAGGCGACAGAGAGAGAAGGGAGGGGCGACGAGCACCAGAAAAAACAAGCCGGAGCCGAAAGAAAACAAGGGACAGACTAAATAACGGGGGAAGGTTTAAGCATTAAGGGGACCTTGAAAGAACATTTAAAGAGACAGAAAAATTGTTATATAACTATACAAGTAACCCCAAACAGAG